TTTGTGTGCTTCTTTAGATGTAGATTTAACTCTAGTAATGCATCTGACGAGACAGTTAAATATGCCAGGTAATAAATTGTTTGCTTGTGTGCGGGACATACGTCTTGTGATCGAGAAGTTTTCCAGAAGGTTGTTATGGGAGAAAGGTAACTTCCCGTCCTTTTTAGGTTGAAATGTTTCGTTATTTAAAGCCCTACTCTGACTCTTGCTAGGACCGCAATATACTCTGACCATAAATATGGCCTGAAGGCTGAACGCGGTTTCAGGAACCTCTCCACGGTGATCCTCACCCACATGGTGGCACATTGTGTCATCTGGTGTTTATCGCTTGTGTGATGTCCTGGTGGGGTAGAAAGTCAGTCAGTCAGTCTGGAAGCAAGGTTCTGTAAAGGATATTCTACTGATTGACTGATTGTGTCGGTGATTTTTAAACTAACAGAGGGAAACATTGTTTTGAAAGTTGGCAACAGCAATACGAGCTCTCCACATGCCAGGATGACAGCGACAATCTGCAAATAACTTGACTCTATGATGTTCAGTTTGTACAGGGAGATACAGAGATTTCGTTAACTACAGCAAAGGACCCTTTACGAACGAACGAACGAACTTTATTTTCAGAGGGTCACAAATTGGGCACGCAGGCCCGTGTTACAATCGGCCCTTCCAAAGACCCGTCTTTCACACTGCAGCTGTATTTTATCAATAAGCATTTTATATTCATATGATAATATGTATATTATGAATATAAAAAAAAGCACATAAGCATGGGTGGTAAAATGCATGCACACACACACACCCAACGACTCACTTAAAGAAACCCACATACCTTCACACACACACATAAACACACCCCATTCACCCACATACATACCTCCATACCCACACAGACACGCACATTCCACACACATACAAACATACAGATATACACACCCACAGCACACACAAACAGACACACACACACACACACACACACACACACACACACACAAACAGACATACGCGCACGACATACCACGACTTCAGACACTTTTTAGACAAATAGTGAAACATTTAAATTGTATAGCCCAATCGGCACTAGATGCTAGATGTGATCAGTATTACTCCCTCCGCCTTTACTTCCTAAGAGTTTACCCCTTTACTTCCCAAGACTTTACCTGGTACACATTTAAGACTAGATAGACATGGGAGCTAAACCCACTACCAAAAAAAAAAAAAAGTTTAACTTCATTCGGATTTGAACCCACGACCCTCGGGTCTGCAGGTGAGCATCTTGCGGCTACAGCACAGCGACTCCCAAGGAGCAGGTGAGCTGTAAAGGGCTTTCAGGGCGGACTAGTTGCTGAATATGGTGACGGAGCAATTATTTGTATGTTCAGAGGGCTGTGATTCGACCGGTTTTTAAATCAGTATATCATCGCTGGCGGCGTCCGTGGCTAAGGAGTTGCGAGTCTGACTCGTAATCCAACGTACCGCGATCGAAACCTGCGTGGATTTTTATCGTGGTATGGGACGTCGCAGGTCGACCCAGCCTCAAATGGGTACCAGGATGGGCTGTCCTGGGAAAATAAAGACGGCCGGCGTAATGCTGACCACATTACCCACCGAGTGTCGATTGGTCTGTAAAAATATGGGTGCCCTTCCCATATGCCCGATGCGCCTGACGGCGTGTAAAGGGATCTTTACTTTTCTTTACTTATATCATCGCTGACCATAAAAGCTCTTTCTTACACAAGTCTTCTCTTGATTTTTATCGTTCACAGGCTGTAAACTGAAGTGGAAAGTTTTGCTTATTGGTACACTTCTGGATTCCGGCCTTGTCCGGAACTTAAGTCTTGCGTGCACATCCATTTCACAGATCTGATTCATGTGTATGCCTACTGTTGGTTTCTCACCTCTCAGAAGATTCACTTTGACCTAGAAGGTATTTTATTTCATCTAAGTGAAAAGATTAATAATGCAAACACTTGTCTATTCTTTTACACATCTCATTCTTTAAGATTTAACAAATAAACGCAAAAATACTCTGGGCCAAGCCGGGATTTGAACCCGGGACCTCTCGCACCCGAAGCGAAAATCATACCCCTAGACCACTTGGCCGGTGATATTGCTAGCAAATAATTATATATATAATTTAATGCAATTAAACATTTATTTACAGCTTTTCGATTAATATGTCATTTAAATTTTTATTTAATTTGTTACAAAATTAATCTTTAGTAAAATGATCAACACAAGAGCATGTGTCTCTGTTTAAAAAATTAAGAACACAACTTTATCACCGTCTGCGGAGTGTCTCTGGGTCAAAGTTAAAGGTCGAATAGTAAACAAATGTTGCAAGAGAAGATTTCTGGCCATGTCGGTTTGAATCGTACGTTTTCTTTCACACTGCCCGCTTCATGTTGTGTATTTCTTCACTATACAAATACAGCGTAGCATTTTACTTACCAAATAATCAAATTATGGACGTTAGCTGCCTGTATGTTTGTTTTGCAAGTCTGTGATAGAGTTGAATGATGAAGTCTCTTCTCCTTCCTGCATGTGTAGGTGTTATCGATAGATACATTTGTTAACACTTTCTTTCAATGTGAGGGAAAAAACAATATTTGACATTCTTTTGTGAAAACTAGTAAGGAATAAACATTGTAACAGTTTGAAAGAACAATGGGTATCCAAGTAGATATAACAGATAAAGAATAAAGTTAACACCTTTAGTGATAATAAAAAAAGTTAACACTTATTATAGTAATAAAGAAAGTTAGGCTCTCCTCCGAACTTCAACCCGATATTATGGCGGCCATAAAATATCCTTACAGGGCTCAGGCATATGTAAAATGCAGACTTTCTGCCAAGGAACAAATCACGGCAAAACTAGGATTACTTGACAATTTCAAGAGACGCAACATTGCAGACGATAGTAGTAGACGATAATAACGACCATTGACAATTTCGAGCATTTCTGCAGACGATAGTAGCAGACGATGATAGCATGCGCAAACCTCGATTAAACTCACCGCCGAGCGTATTCCCCGCGGCGCGGATGGGGGACTAAACTAGGTGCCTGGCACTCATGAGCAAATTAATTGGAGGAAGTTGCAGGAGATGCGTTAGCTGCTGCTCGTGAGTCCCAGCCATCTTGTTTAGCTTTAAGCCGCGCCGCTAGGCGTGGTACGGGCTATACGGTTGGCGGTGAGACATAATCACAGAAACAGGTCCGCAAGTAACTTATCACTGAGACCTTGTTAGAGCATTTGTTTCATTATATGGAGCTGCCATATTTTTAATAGAACTGAGCCCCGTAAGGATATTTTATGGCCGCCATGATATCGGGTTGAAGTTCGGAGGAGAGCCAAAAGTTAAAGCTAACACGTTTTTTTGGTTCCTTATCTTCTCTTTGGAGTCTTCCTAGAGACAGTCACTAATCCTTGCTGTAGCTGTAGACTAATGTCTTGTTTGTTATTTGTGAATCATTAAGAAGGGGATCACAGAATAACTGTTGTCCTGGCTTTTGGCTTTTGGACATCGGTACGTGGGTCACACTGTGGAAAAGATTTTGCAGCCCTACCAAGTGATATTCTTGGCTCTCCTTCGAACTTCTACCCAATATTATGGCGACCAAACAAATACCCTAACAGGGCCTAAATCCTTTGTAAAATGCATCACGGCAAAACTAAGATTACTTGACAATGTCATGACACGCAACACTGTAACCGATAATACCGGCCGTTGACAATTTTTAACGTTTCTGCAAACGATACTAGCGACCATTGACAATTTCGAGACACGCAGCATTACAGACGATAATATGGAGATGGTGGGGAACCACGCTCTCCAACGCAGATTAGCGATAGTGTTCTTCTGATTAAATTCACCGTCGAGCGTATACCCGTAGCGGAGTGGATGGGGATATAAACTAGATGCCTGAGACTCACGAGCAAATAAATTGGAAGAAGTTGCTGGAGATTCTATAGCTGCTGCGAGTCCCAGCCATCTAGTATAGCCCCCCATCCGCGGCACGGGGGATACTATAGGTAGTGCGGTATAGTCGCAGAAACAGGTCCTCAATTAACATATCGCTGAGACCCTGTTAGAGCATTTATTTTGTTATTCGGAGCCGATCCTAGTTTTCAGCGATTTGTTCCTCAGCAGGAACTCCACATTTTGCATAGGACTGGGGCGCTGTTAGGGTATTTGTTTGGCCGCCATAATATGGGGTTAAAGTTCGAAGGAGAGCCATATTCTTTTACAGCAGCAGTTGTGTAAAGTGCCAACGTCCATTGTGATTGTCACTGTCTTTGGAGGCAGCAGTGCACGCTTCATTTGTAGTGGCATTGATAAAGTATTCCACTTACCCAGTTTGTGAAAGCCTTTTACAAAGGGCCGTTTGCACAGTTTTTATATAAAAAATGTGCCATTACCCAAGATAAATTATCAAAAAAAAAAAAAAAAAAGAAAAGGTTCCAGTACTCACCACAAAAGTATTATTACAGTACCGCTGAAAATGTATGCCTTAAAAAAAAGGTGGCAGTATCGTGTACCATTGCGTACAGCTAGAAGACAATCTTTTTTCATTTGCATATTTATAATAAATCAATCACATTCAGTGCAGAATTCAGAATTATCTACTCCTACTACATTTTGTCTGTCATTTAATTGCAATTAGTAGCACATGGATTTCGGATACATGTACCTCACAGCAGACTCCTAAGTAGTCACTATTAATATTATGACATGTTTGTTGGGGGCATTGGGTCTGGTCTTGCCCCCTAAAAGTGGGGCCCTGGTACCCTACATAGTGAGATTGTTTATAGTAAACTTATAATTTCAAAATGAACAATTTCTGCTTTGTGTTTACACTAAACAATTTAGGTGATGCCAGTTTTTCACTCAGGCTCAAGTAATCTAGTGGATGTTCCAGATATCTGCCTCTTCGCCTTGTGTACCCCTAAAAAACAGCTGTTGTAATTTTGAACTGTGGTGCTAAAGTACAGTTGTGATCCAGCATGCCAGTACCTTCAAGTGCGTACGGGCAACAGCATGGTGCCCCGAGCTGCTTCGATCGGGTGAAAATTGGGTTTATGATGGGATTCTGTGTTGGAATGGCTTCAGGGGCAATCTTTGGAGGATTTTCTGCTCTCAGGTATTCATTTTGTCTTATAGTTCTTGCTTTGTGGTGTTGGTATTCATGTTTTTTCACAGCCCCTTATCTTGTTTTAGTTAACAAATCAGGCTGAGCGAGGGATCATGCTGCATGCGCTTCATATGGTCTCTGCAAAACTTCCTAGACTGATGTGAATGGGAACTCTATTCCTAGCCATAATTGGTGTTGCCATAGTTTGTGATTTACATACTATTCTATAGAACTGTGAAGCAGTAACATCTGAAAGGAGATAGGGGCCAGCAACAACCTATCTTGTGTACTGTCATTCATTCTTGATACAGCAACAGCCTGTTTTGTATACTGTCATTCATTCTTAATGCAGCAACAACCTGTCTTGCGTATACTGACATTTATTCTTGATACTGCAACAACCTGTCTTGTGTACTGTCATTCATTCTTGATACAGCAACAGCCTGTCTTGTATACTGTCATTCATTCTTGACACAGCAACAGCCTGTCTTGTGTTCTGTCATTGATTCTTGACACAGCAACAGCCTGTCTTGTGTACTGTCATTAATTCTTGACACAGCAGCAGCCTGTCCTGTGTACTGTCATTAATTCTTGACAAGTAGCAGCCTGTCCTGTTTACTGTCATTCATTCTTGACACAACAGCAGCCTGTCCTGTGTACTGTCATTAATTCTTGACACAGCAACAACCTGACTTGTGTACTGTCATTTATTCTTGATACAGTAACAGCCTGTTTTGTATACTGTCATTCATTCTTGATACAGCAACAACCTGTCTTGTGTACTGTCATTTATTTTTGATACAGCAACAGCCTGTCTTGTGAACTGTCATTCATCCCTGATACAGCAACAGCCTGTCTTGTGTACTGTCATTCATTCTTGATACAGCAACTGCCTGTCTTGTGTTATGATTAAAAGGGCGCTTCTTTAACGATATTGATGACATCCAAAGGGCTGTAACATCGACTTTTAAGGGCCATAACAACAGAGGAACTACAAAGGTCGTTCCAGTGTTTGTTAGATCGCGCCAGTTACTGTATCAAAGTAACGTACAAGTTATATCTTCAACTGTTGATTATTTTAATTTTGATAGAATAAGTCTCATTACTTTACTTAACTGTCGGACCTTGTATGTATTCACTAAACTTAACATTATACACTGGCATAGTGTCTGAAGCTCAGTAAATTCTCTACTGAAAATTTGAAAAATTATCCAATGTCATCCCCATGTGGGATGCAATTTTTTGTTATTTTGAAGCCCTGCCCTGGCTTTTGCCAGGGGCCGCAATAAAGCTCGACCATAAATATGGCCTAATTGCTGAATGCAGTTTCTGGGATATCTCCATGGGTGATCCTCATCCACATAGTGGCACTCTGTGTCATTGGGTGTTTATCGCTTGTGTGATGTCCTAGTGGGGTAAAACGTACTACTACTACTACTTAAAATTGTATATGTATACCGTTCCATGAATTGATTTAATTTTTCACTTTTCTAACCACATCATATTTATTTATAACTTTTGTTGTGTCTGTCTAGGTATGGACTTCGAGGAAGAGAACTGTTCTCGACGGTGGGAAAAACAATGGTCCAGGGCGGTGGTACCTTCGGCACATTTATGGCAATAGGTACTGGTATTCGGTGCTGATGTATCAGACTTTGGGAAAACCCCACTCCCCCAAAATGGATTTGTGAGTGCTGTACAGTGTTGAGCAGCTGTATACATATATATAGAATATATATGGAAACAGTGTATGAAACTAAGGCTTGAATTTTATTTTGTGGAGAAGGGCTGACTAAATTTTCCCTCTCTTTCAATCAGTTTGCTAGTTGTAATTGTAAATTTTATGGTTTTTTTTTTTTTTAAATTGATATATTTTTGTTAGGAAAGTGTAGTTGTGAGATTGCAACTTTTATACAAAAGTATGTAATATAATGAAGTACATTTATTAGCGCTTCGCCGACGTCACCAAAGTGCAATTCTCAGGCTGTTAGTTATCACTTTACAAAAGTGAATTTCTGCTCCAGATTTGTCAAAATTATTTTCAGGCCACTGCACACTTGTTGTATGTCACTATTCAGAAATGGTTTTCTTCAAACAAGGATTTTAGCACTTGGGTGACTTTGGAATAGTTCCAACAATATTTCAGTGTAATTATTCATAATCATCATTCCTGGACTCATGTACTCACAGGAAGCATTTAACTCATTCTTTACAAAGCAGATGTTTCTGGAAAATAATAAATGTTGAGTTCATATAATGACCTTCATCTGCATTCATCCTTTAAAGGATTTTGTTTAAAGCAAGCTGCAACATCTGTGCTTTTCTATCCAACACATCCAGTTTCATAAAACTCCTAAATAGTTGCCCTTTATGACATGCTTGATAGGATGACAGTCTGTTCCCCAGGTGGGGGCCTACGTGGGGAAAGTAAGAACCATATTCGACTGAGTTGTCAGTACCTCCTGTGGACATAAGAATGCAGTAGTTTCTCTGCGTGTTTCTTTTTCTGAGATATCTTTTATTCTTAATAGATTAATATCTATGTTAACTATGAAAATGATTACAGTCTTTCCGACTTTTATTTCTTAAATTTCAATAATCAGTCCCTTGTCCTTTACAGAACATCGCTGTCTTCACTGCACGCCTGAAAGTCTTAATTTTTTTAAAGCCAGTTCTGCAGCCCTATGTACTTTCATTGCCATTGCTTCTTCATTTACCTGTATCTACCTGTGCGGTGGTCAGCCTCTGCCTCACTTGTTTCCCCTTTCTCTAGCCAGTTGACTGTGGGCTAAACACCACCAGTGCATCTCCAGTGTCCTGTACGAACCTTCGTGATGATCAGATCTGCCTATTGTTCTGGAAACTGCCTCCTCTGTAACTGTTTTCTCCAGACTGCCATGGCTTTTGACATGCCCTGAATACCTCAGTTTTCAGGAGAAGATGCTGTTTATGAGCCAATTCTCCTCAGTGTTCCGATCATTCTTAAATATAGTTTAAGTGATAGTAAGTAAAGGACCTTATTCATGCTAGTTGTGTATGAGGTAAATGATACTAAACTCCCATTTGTCCAGATCACTTTTACTTCCCATGGCTTTTCCTGGTACCCATTTGAGGCTGGGAGCCAGTGGTCGAGCAGGGAGCCAAAATCATTTTTTTTTAAATCCTGCTTGTTGGAGATTTGAACCCAAAAACTTGAGGCTGGCAGGTAAGCGTCTAGCCACGATACCACAGCAGCTCCCACATTTAGTTTGGTTTTCATTGTTCTCTTTCCCTGTGTGGGTCTGCTGGATCTGACCTTCTTATTTGCAATTGTCACATCACATGAAACAGGAATTGAACTGATTCAAAATTCCTTTTTTTTTTTCTTCTAAAAAATATCAATATCTGTAATTGGGGTTTCTTTGTAAACAGGAAGTCTTCTGCAAGTTCTTCTTGCAGGCTTCTTTACAGTTTAATTTCTTGCAAATTCTATTTGTAGGCTTTTGTAAAGATCAGCTTCTGCAAGTTCTATTTGAAGACTTTTGTAGAGTTTGACTTTTGCAGATCCTCCTTGTTGGCTTATGTAGAGTTTGACTTCTGCAGATCCTGCTTGTAGGCTTATGTAGAGTTTGACTTCTGCAGATCCTGCTTGTTGGCTTATGTAGAGTTTGACTTCTGCAGATAAAACAAGCTTCTTTAGTTGAATTTCTGTATGTAGGCATCTATAGTGCTTGACTTGTACGGATCCTGAGCTTTGGTAGTTTTGTTTCTGCAGGTAGACATCTCTACAGTTTTTTTTTTTCTGTTGTTTAACCCAGTCATAAAATATTTGGTACAGTGTTATAGTTCTGCAGTTTGTGATGCTCCCATGCATATACACATTACTGTAGAACCTATTCTTAGTTTTATGTCGTACATGAGTCTGTCAGTGGAGCTTATTCATTTATGTTGTCCTCCTCTTCTTCGTGTTTACCGCCTGTAAATTCCTCTGGAAAGTTCTGGTTGTTCTTTGACTTCTGGATTTTGGTTATGTTCCAGAACCTGAGTTTTATTTGCACATCCGTTTCACAGATATAATAGATAGATGATATTCATTCTTTGGTTGAATAGGAGTTATCTAGGTTTTAAAAATATTTCTTTTTGGCATTTGTGGCTAGAAAATCTGGCAGTGGTGTCCTTGTGGGTTTATTAGGTAAAGCTTGATCTGTCTGCAGATGGCCAGATATGTGGTCAGCCTAATAATAGAAAAGCAGAGTTACCGATCAGTTTAGAAAATGTACTGAATGAATAAAGGTCACTTGATTGTTTTCACTGATTTGTTTGTTTCATTTTTCAGGTATATGTGCATTATGGTTTTGTTATGCGGCTGTAAATCACATAGTGCCTGCAGCCTATTCCTCCATTTTGTTTTCTCCTTTGCTCTCTTTTCGTTACGTTGGATGGAATCCAGTTCAACACCTGTGGGTATTAGTTTGTTTAAACAATAAATCATGGACGGCGAACTGAGGTCTTCTTCTTCTTAAATTCCATACCGTGGGACTTTGGTAGTGATGTCTATCAACAACCTTCTGTCTCATGTACTTTTGGTCAGCTGACACAGATGATCCTCCATACCAGGGTGTCAGACTGTCCAGCATCTTTTCCCTCGGTCTCCCTCTCCTCATCTCCCCTTTCCTACTGTCACAATGTACTCTTTATCTCCCTCTCCTCATCTCCCCTTTCCTACTGTCACAATGTACTCTTTATCTCCCTCTCCTCATCTCCCCTTTCCTACTGTCACAATGTACTCTTTATCTCCCTCTCATCACATGTGAGCAGTCAGTTCTCTTCTTGGGTCAGTTTCTTCCAAGACATCTTCATTCCTCTGAATCTGTCCAGGATATTCTCATCATTGGTCTATAAAACCACGTCTCTGCAGCTTCCAAATAATTGTTCACTAATCTGCCAACTGTCCAGCCCGTTAGCGAACAGATAATATGGAAGCTGGAGAGCTATGATTTTATAGAAGGATGATAAACACCCACATGACCTGAGCATCTAGGAGAATTGGCTCATAAACAGCATCCTGTCCTAACAGTTCAACTGTTTTTTTGGGGCCATGTTAAACTTCATGGAGGTCTTTTTTTGGGGGCCATGTTAAACTTCATGGAGGTCTGGAGAGAATGGTTATGTTGGGTGCAGTTGCTGGAATACAGGGCAAAGGCAGATCTCCATGAATGTGGATACAACATTTTTTAGATGCATTGACTTTTAAAGCACATAGGGCTGGAGCATTAGTTAGAGAAAGAAAAAGACTTTCAGGCGTGCCGTGACAAGAGCAACGTTATGTAAAGGGCCTATTGATTGAGGATGATGACAAACACCTTGGACAGAAGGGGAAAAAATCAATACATTGCCTTGAAAGACAAATTAACTCAGGAAGAGAACTGATTACTTATATCAGAAAGCGATAATATATAAGAACACTTGGTTCAGTGAGCAACCACAATTCTTTGTTGTGGATGATATTTGCAGCCTACCTAAGCAATGGGATGCTTGCCTGAATGCCTACGTTGACGGCGAGTTTAAAACCAATCCATGATGTATAATCGTTTTAAAATGAATGCTTTGTTTAATTCTGCCTCACCTTTTGATGTTTCTTTCATACTTTTTAATACATCCGTTTTAGTAAATAAAAGACTAATGTGGTTCTTGGAGACAAACGCTGTAATCCCCACAACACAGACAGGATACAGACAGCACAGAAACACAGAAGACCAGTTGACATATCTGGCACAGGAAATAGAGAATGCCTTCCAGGAAAAAAAGAAAGTTCTTGCTGTCTTCTTTGACCTCTCTCGTGCTTTTGATACAGTTTGGAAAGAAGGCCAACAACTAAAACTGCTACAGGCAGGAGTTGTGCACAACATGTACAAGTGGATCAAAGACTTTCTTTTCCAACGCAGAGCCAGATTCAGAATTGATGGACACATCGGCAAACTGGCAAAACTAAGAGAAGGAGTTCCCTAGGGTAGTGCATTAGCACCAACTCTGTTCCTGGTTTACGTAAATGATATCACAGCAACCTGCCACCAGCACGTTTCTAATACCCTACATGCCGATGACTTAGCAGTTTGGACAGCCTCTGAATACACTACCACAGCCTCATATCTGTTACAGAAAACTGTGGAAAATGTAGAAGCCTGGACCGAAAAGTGGGGTCTAAAGCTAAATAATTCAAAAAGCACAGCATCACTTTTCTCTCTCTCCCCCAAAAAAAGAAAAAAATCGAAATTTGGAGAAAAAAAACAGCTCACTCCACAGACTGACACACTTTCCTTTCTTGGCGTTACACTTGATTCGCTACTAACTTGGAAGTCACATGTAGAAGCAGTACAGGGGAAAGCATTCAAGAAGCTTGCAGTGATGAAAAAATTAGTGGGTACCACATGGGGCGCTAACTCCAGAATTTTAAAACAAGTATATACTGGAGCAGTCAGGCCAGTTATGGAATATGCCTCCACTGCATGTGCTGCAGCATCCAAGACAACAATGGGAAAACTGGACAAGGTTCAGAATATGGGATTAAGGATTGTTCTCGGAGCCATGAAAACCACCCCCATCAGAGAGATAGAGAGAATAACAGATACTGAACCACTCAAACTCAGAAGACAATACGAAACTCTTTTACAGTATGAGAAATTAAAAAGACTTCAAAGTCATCCACTGCATTTTAAATTTCAAGAGAGAACAAAAAACAGACTGAAGCGTCAGAGCCACAACCACCTTGCTAGAGAACTGTACAGACAGCACCAAGATCTGCTTGAAAGAGATGTTGCACTGTGCGAAAAACTTAGGCCAGAACCATGGACAAGCAAGCCAGAGAAGGCAAATGTAGTCCTAAAGGTACCAGGGATCACTTCAAAAGATGCCCAGACGGAGACATAACAGAGAACCCTGGCTCTTGCTATGCTTGATGAGAAGTATCCAAACACCACTTGGACTCAGGTTTTTGTGACGGCTCTGCTACAGATGCAGTCAAAAAGGGGAGTTGTGGAATATACATTAAACCCCCTAGCAGTAGAGCAGAAACTCTGTCTCTACCAGCAGGTGACATCTGCACTAACTTCAGAGCTGAGGCAACTGCCCTCCTTTCTGTAGTCCAACATCTCATCACTCAAGAATACAGAGGGCACAAAATTGTTATACTTAGTGACTCATTGTCTGTCCTCCAAGCACTATCAAGCAAAAAACAAGACAAACTAATTGCAGATCTAAGGACCAACATTGGTTTACTCTCCAAGGAAGCAAAACTGGTCTTGCAGTGGATACCAGCCCACTTTGGTATTCAAGGAAATGAGAGAGCAGATGAGTTGGCAAAAGCTGGGAGTAATCTTTCACAACCTCATCCAACCACACAGCTACAAGGAAACCAAAACAGCGCTAAAGCAGTCTTTTAAGCGGGAGTGGAGAAAGCAGAATGGAGATTACAGACCAGAGAGTGACAGCAAGAACAAACTCAACAGGAAAGAACAAACATCAATTTTTATACTTCGGACAGGACACTGTGGTCTTCGAGCACACCTGTACAGGATAGGCATAAAAGAATCTGCTGCCTGTGATTGTGGAGCAGAAAGAGACCCCTGAGCACATACTGCAGTACTGCCCTTACCTCTCCCAGCAAAGACTGTGGATCTGGCCCAAAGGAGCCACATTGCAAGAGAAGCTATGGGGGACCGGTGGCGACCTTAAACGCACAATCCTATTTGTGACCCAGACGGGATTCAATGTTTAGCATGACTGATGTCGAACGCAGAAGAAGAAATACATCCGTTGGAATTTTTTCAAGTGAGTGCTTCTTTTACATACTTTGCTCACATCGTAATAATGAAAAAAGTGGAGTTAACGCAATGTGTAATTCGGGAAGGATAGAGAGGCAGAGACGGAAACCATGAGAGAAGATTCTGGACAGTAAGAGGTCATTGTATGTTGGGTCATCTGTGTCAAACAAGGTTGAAAGTACATGAGGCAGAAGGCTTTGGATAACCATGACGACAAATAGCATGGGCTATACACATTTTAAAACAGCTTGTTGGCACTGCTCTTCCATTACAGTTGAAAAAAGTACAATAGATTATCCAGCTCTGGATCAACCAGGAACATTTTATCCAGCTCTGGATTAACCAGGAACATATTATCCAGCTCTGGATTAACCAGGAACATATTATCCAGCCAAATTAAAAAAGACAAATCTTGGTATTAAAGAGGAAAGAGAGGGAAATGCGCGAAACAGTCATCTATCAAAGACTTTTTCAAAAAATATAAGCGGACATAAATTTAGTTGTAGAGTTACTGATGTGGAACTTCAATCTCAGAAAAGGAAAGGCAGAAGTGGCATGATATCTTGACAGAAATTCTCCACTGCACAAAACCTCAGTACAACTGAAAATCTAGCTGTGCTTGGACACAGAATCATTTCAGCAAGACGATCATTTTTTCAGTGTTGGAAATTTTCTTGGCTTGATGAAACTACTGGCAGTTTTTTTTTTACTATCTCACGAAAGAACATGTGACATATGCGAAAGCTCAAGCTGGATCGACATCTTCTCTCCCCTGGTGTGCAGAATGATTGCATTCACTGGATGATCACCTGTTCGCCAGAATGTACCAACAAGCATTCCTAGAGCTCAGTACTATGGTTTCATGTTGGACTGACTCCTCATCAAGCACTGAGCAGATGTCAGAGGTAGAGCAAAGGCATTAAACAGGCTTCCAAATTACGCTCTTCAAACTCTGTAAAGGTGGCCTCAAAATTGAGCAGTAATAAGTACGAACTGCTCCCTGTGTGGACTTTTGGGGCATTCATATAGTGAAAACAAGAATAGACCCACTGCCTCCCCAAAAGCATGTCGTAAGAGTGGACAAACTGGGTGTTTTCTTTCAAAGTCTATGTGGATCTGCCTAGAGGCAAGGTACTAACAGTCTGCACCCAAATGGGTCAGATCTGTCAAACTGATGCACACGCACTACTGCAGTCCAGAAGCTAACGAACAATCAGAACTTTCCGCCGATGAACGCGAAGAAGAAGAAGTACAAATTGCAAAGTTTTATGACCATCTTATTGACACAAAATACCATAGGGGCGCCACTTGGGTGAGAAGTGGGAGGATGGGGACCTTGCCATATATTTAAAGGGGAGACACCCGAGGAAAGGTTGAAAACCACTGCTCTTGTAATTATGTAATATTGGCTTGTAGAGTTGCTTTGTCCACTGTGTATAATTTCCTGTTTCTGTCAGATGTATCTAATATCTTACCTTTTGATGTATTAAGTTTTGTCCAATCTGTCTCTCTTCTTCTTGTCTCATTTTAGAGACTTAATTCATTGTATAGCTTTGAGACTGGTGTAATATTCTGTCCGTATTTGTTGGAGTTAATCGGTCGATCAGTTTGTCCTCTCCGGAATGCTTCTTGAAAATTTGCCATCCTGAGAAAAAAAAAATTATCAGTTTGAATAGGAGACTAGCAGAGCAGAACCAAGATATCCGGTTTAACCTCTAGAGCAGCGATTCTCAACCTGTGGGTTGTGACCCTTGGGGGGGGGGGGTCGAACGACTCTTTCACAGGGGTCGCCAAAGACCATCACAAAACACATATTCATTGAAGTTGTGAAGTAGCAAGGACAAAAATGGTATGATTGCGGATCACCACAACACGAGGAGCTGTATTAAAGGGTCACCGCATTAGGTAGTTTGAGAACCAGTGCTCGAGAGAATGTTTAATAAAGGCACAAGTAGTAGCTACACAAGCCCAGTATAACCAGCGGTCTTTGACGGGTTCAAGATTTTTGTTGTTGGAAATTATTGCTTTTTTTTTTTTTTTAATTGTTTATTGGTTCAAATATTACAATATTTCTTATATACATTTACAAAAGCAAAAGTAATAAAATGGTAAAAAAATGATGATGTCTGTTGCCTATACTACACCAACATTTGAAAGAAAATAGATTAAAGCAGGAGGCAGAAATAGACAGCGGGTAAGGAAAGGAGGGGGCTATTCATGTTTCTTTGTTGGTGGTGTTGGTACCTTGTTATGATGGTGGTGATGATGATGACATGGTTACATCGATTATACATTTTTCAAACCCGGGTGTCCCCTGGAAATTAATGCTTGCAATCAAAGTCACTATTCCGTCTGGTGAGTCTAGTGAATCGTTTTTTTTTTTTTTTCTTCTTCCCCTTATGTAACTGTAAAGGTAAAGTTGAGAGATGTGAATCAGCGTCATTGCACATGGTTATAAACTACAAGTGCTCTGTCACCAGTACCAACAGCTGATATAAAACTGTGTCACAGACCGCACACAACTCCGAAGCTACAGCGACGTTCCTCCATTTACCCTAGAGTGTTAACTCTGGTACCCATTTCCTAGAGGCTGGGTGAACCGCCGTGGGCTGCAGCTAGTCACAGCTGGATTTGAAAGCGAGTCTTCTATCGACTGCGCTAACGAGGCGCCTCTAATATAACTGATTTCCTTAAAAAGGCGAATAAGCAACAATAGACAGTTGTGTTGTTGTTGTTATATTCATAGACTCATTTCTGCAAATAAAGACTTATAGAAAACCCGTAAAATATCAGCCCAAAAAGTAATTACAAAAGTCAGATGTAAAAGTAGTATATTGATCCCTTGAATAGTTTGTCCCATCCGAGCTGCTACCTAAAGATTCACTATACAGGCCTTAGATTACATCTTCGATTGGATGGCACACCGACAAGGCAGATCTTAGATACGCTGTTCAATCTCCAAAAAAGTTTTAATTCGGTCACAACTTTAGAACTACAACAGCCAGATGTTACCTGCGGTCATATGAGTGTAAAAAAAGTATGTTATAATCCGTTCCAGAAGTTTTGCCTAAATGTTAAAATCTGTAGCTCAGTAACCGTTGGGCATAAATTGTTGAAACTCATCATGCAACCTGTTAATAATCATGTCCTTGTGAGATTTGTCTTCAGAATGAGAATAGACATCTAGTTTTCAGTTTGCCTTACTTGCCGTGTGTGAAGAAAATAAAGCAGACACCGATTCAAAGCAGTCAACTTGCATACAGTTAACTGAATAGTGGAAACTTTTCAAGACGTCTAATTGCATGCATGGCATAGGTGTTACACTCTCAATTAGTTATCTCTAGTATTAGCCTCCTGTGAGTTAGATGAACACAATTTTTCACTGTATGCGGGATATGATATCAAAATAATCACAACGCATCCCTGCATATATGAACTGATTTGCAAAAAAAAAAAAAAAAAAATTATGCATGTGTCAGTTACTAATTTTCTTCTTCTTCAGAAATTATTAGTCAAACAAAGATCAAAGAAAATCGCCATCAAGACCTATGCAAATCTAAATTATAACATCATAAGGACATTTAAAATCCAAGGGTCCCTGCGTGGGTTCAGGGGCTTTTCATAAGGAATACAAGAATAGATCCACTGCCTACCCAAAAGCATGTCGTAATAGCGAACTAATTGGGAGCTCCCTTCGACGTCTGAGTACATATACATGAGAGGCAAGGAACCAACAGTCTGCACACAAATGAGTTATATTTGTCGAACGGATGCACAAGCAACACTCTGGTTCTAAAACATGACTGTATTCAGAAGGGGACGAGCAACAAGAACTTTCCACCGGAGTTTACAGCCGGTAAGCGCAAAGACGAAGAAGAAATAAGGCCGCATGCACAAATTTGTGTTGATCCGTACCGGATTTTCGAAATTTTTGTTTTAAAAATGTGAGGACTCCTCTTTTGGAACTCACTGACTTTCTACCCCACCGGGGCATCACACAAGCGATAAACACCCGATGACACAATGTGCCACCATGTGGGTGATGATCACCGTGGAGAGGTCCTAGAAACCGCTTCAGGCCAGGCTATATTGCGGCCCCTGGCAAGAGCCAGAGTAGGGCTTCAAATAACGAAAACTTTCACCCTGAAAAAGACGGAAAATTAATGATACACTTTTTTGCAACTCACTGACTGACTGACTGATTTTCTACCCCACCAGGACATTACACAAGCGACAAACACCCGATGACACAATGTGCCATGCGGATGAGGATCGCCGTGGAGAGGTCCCAGAAACCGCGTTCAGCCTTTTGGTCACATTTATGGCCTGCCTATATTGCGGCCCCTGGCAAAAGCCAGGGTGGGGCTTTAAATAACAAAAAATGTCGTCCTAAAAAGGACGAAACATCTAGCATATAACATAAGCAACTCACTATAGTGTACAGTCTATGTATTGTGTGTAATAATGAAAGGAAAGCATTTCTTCTACCCAGACGAAAAACGTGGTTTGTACAGTCAACATCTACATAGTTTAGGCCATCTAGCAGGAATAATTGACACCATTATCTAGTTCGCTCAGGGCAGGTTTGTTATATACACTAATTTCCTCTCCTTCAACTAATGTCAGAACAAAATAAAAAATGGAAACAAACGCGGGTTGAACAGTTTACACATTATTTCCCTTATCTATTCAAACATTTATCTGGTTATCTCCCTCTATCACTTGTGTCGAATGACGTTGATTAAACCGGAAATCATAAGTTCGAGCTGCCATGGATAAAGCTGAATCTGCCACGAATTGTTTTGTATAAGACTGATTCTTCTTTTTTCAATTACTGTTCTGGAAAACGTTAATTTTTGGAGAGGTTTCGAAACTGATAGGATACATTGTCCTTGTTTCGATATTTAAACTCTAGTGAGTTTGTGTCTTAGGAGTCGTAAAAGATACATAAATACTATCCTGATATACGGAAGTGAATCGTGGACAGTTGGTCGATTTGTGAAACGTTATTTGGAAGTTGCTGAGATGTGGTTCTATAGACGAATGATGAAAATAGCATGGAGAGATTAAAAAAAAGAATAATGAATGTGACTTGAAAGAAACTAACTCTCGAATTAAAAAAAGAATAATGAATGTGACTTGAAAGAAACTAACTCACGAATTAAAAAAAGAATAATGAATCTGACTTGTAAGAAACTAACTCACGAATTAAAAAAAGAATAATGAATCTGACTTGTAAGAAACTAACTCACGAATTAAAAAAAAGAATAATGAATGTGACTTGAAAGAAACTAACTCACGAATTAAAAAAAGAATAATGAATCTGACTTGAAAGAAACTAACTCACGAATTAAAAAAAGAATAATGAATGTGACTTGAAAGAAACTAACTCACGAATTAAAAAAGAATAATGAATCTGACTTGAAAGAAACTAACTCACGAATTAAAAAAAGAATAATGAATCTGACTTGAAAGAAACTAACTCACGAATTAGAAAAAAGAATAATGAATCTGACTTGAAAGAAACTAACTCACGAATTAAAAAAAGAATAATGAATGTGACTTGAAAGAAACTAACTCATGAATTAAAAAAAGAATAATGAATCTGACTTGAAAGAAACTAACTCACGAATTAAAAAAAGAATAATTAAATCTGACTTGAAAGAAACTAACTCACGAATTAAAAAAAAATAATGAATCTGACTTGTAAGAAACTAACTCACGAATTAAAAAAAGAATAATGAATGTGACTTGAAAGAAACTAACTCACGAATTAAAAAAAGAATAATGAATCTGACTTGAAAGAAACTAACTCACGAATTAAAAAAAGAATAATGAATGTGACTTGAAAGAAACTAACTCATGAATTAAAAAAAGAATAATGAATCTGAATTGAAAGAAACTAACTCACGAATTAAAAAAAAGAAACTGATTGTCAATTACTGCCTTTAGTTTACCACTTTTGCGGTGTAGGCTTAAGGATTTACTACCGCATGGTTAGTGCTGTCGCCACGACTGTGCAGGTGAGGATTTTATTTTGCCCGCAAGAGAACAAAATCCCAATCTTTTCTGAGGATTCGAACCTGGATCTCAGAAAACTGTTTGCTCACATCAAAAGAAGGCAATCTACATTCTTTGGTCATGTCATGAGAGGGGGAAAGACTTGAGTATCGTGACAGTAGGAATGTAGGAAGGGAAGCGAGGCTGAGGGAGGCAAAAAGAGAAGGTGCTGGACAGTTTGACATCATGGCATGGAAGATCATCTGTGTCAAAACTGACCAAAAGTACACGAGACAGAAGATAGTTGATAGATATGACCACCAACGGCACACGGCATCTACTCATAAATAGTAATGCACACAGCACCAAATTCCTTTTGAACAGTGTAAATGGTTGAGGCGACATGCGTGGCGTTCCCCACATTATCCGTTGACTGCCGATTGGTGTTGTTTACAAATATGGTTCAAGCTGGACCATTAGAAGACTGACCAGATGTCCAGTTTTCGCCGGAACAGGCACGTTTTTTCCCCCGGTGTTTCATTTCAGTTTTCTCGCCCCAAAAAAAAGACACATACGCTTAAAGTTATGTCTGTAGAACATATTAGATTTCATTGTTTTAGATAGTTGTGATGCCTAAAATGTGTTGATAGGGATTTTCATTGTAGCATTTTGTTTTCCAGTCAGTGCAGTTAATTAAATAGCATATTGTTTCGCTTATTTCTTGGCGACAGTGGTTCAGGTTTTAATATCATTGTAGCGCGAGAAAGGAATTGTAGTCCAGAAAAGGGGGAGTAGAGTTGAACTCACGCTTGTTTTGAATGTTCCGTTTTCAGCTCAGGGCGTAGTGGACACCCTACGGATAATTTATTGGCTTAAAAATGGTCAAGAGCTTTTTTTTTTTAAAAATATATTGTTAATGTCGATGTAAAACAGCAATGCTGCTGTGGATTTAGCCCTGCTGCTGCTGCTGCTGCTCACAGACTTATGTCCTCCAATAGATTATCGTTTGGGGGTTTAAAGTGTACTGAGTACATTTATGGAGCCCTGACAGAGTCTTATGTTTGATTTTGTCGTGCCAGGAATGGGTCAGTTGCGCACCTGCTACTTTCCGTATGGTATGCGGTTCTAATGCTTCCTATTCGGAATCGAACCCTGATTCACCTTTAGTTGTTACAGATGTGGTAGTCATTTTACCTGCTATCGAGATTTGATAGGGTAAACATTTGACAGATGTGTCGCCAGCACCTAAAGCAATGCGATCAGCACAGAGTTATGTTTTAGCCTGCTTTCATGTTTGTTTTCTATCTGTGTCCCATCACAGAAAACCCAGTAATTGGACCCACCCCACCAACTTCAATGCG